ATACGGTCGTTATAAATGATGGATCATTATATTGGGGATTGTTAAAAGTGGGTTCGACTGTACTCACAATTATACGGCATATACATGCATGAGTAATTGAGGAAAAATATATGCTGTGTCCCTTGACTAGTGCTAACTGCCCCTCCAAAATCTTAACATGCTTTTGCACAAGGCACCAGTGTACTACAGCGAAGGTGGCTTAAAGTAGAACTTCGGCGTTCTTTCAATATTCACAGATTTCAACAAAACTTTGAACATGTGTTCTCATCAGTACCATGGTAATATGTGCGAAATTAATACAACCTTAAGTGATTTAGTATTTTTAGAAAACAACTTTTAAAATCAGTACCAGATTCTGCAATCGCACTGGAAAACGCGGGCCACCCTGTGTATGTGACGTAAGGGTCTACTCCGTTTCAGAAACCCCGCTTGCCCCAGCAGACGGATGCAGCGTGCACTTTCTTCTACGAGGCAACGTGAGCATAGTTCAGTTTTGTTAGCTGCATACAGCGTGTTAGTCGTCGTTGACGTCAGGTCGAAATCAAAAAGCGATGCTTCCGCGCTCAAATAGTACTTGTCACTGGTAAATCATCACTGTACTTGTCACTGGTAAGTTCAGACGAGCTGGCATAGCCAGATTCCGCGTCGGACGACATTGCCAACTTTCTTTTCGCGCGTCAGAAGAGGCACGTGAGCTATATTTACACCCTGGCCAACCATGGTGGTGTGTAGCTGATTCGCGACGTCATCCAAACCTCCCATGGATGACGGAGCGGCTCCCTGCTTCGGTTTCCGTTTTGACTCATCGTTTATTGCTTAACTAAAATTACTGACAAGTGCCTGAGCAAAATGAACCACCCTAGCTTTAGAAGAACTGTCATTACTATTTGAAAACAGCATTATTTCAGAATGGTCGAAAATGCATCAGAGTTCCCCTTTAAAGGGCCACTAAATTCGATATGTCGTGTTTAACGGCCAAAACCACCATACGATTACGAGACGCCGTAATGGAGGGCTCCAGTAATTTCGACCACCTGGGATTCTTCAAAGTGCCCCTAAATCTACGACCCTACAGCATTTTTGCCTCCATCAAAAATACAGCCACCACAGCCGGGATTCGATCCTTCAACCTGCGGGTCATTAGCCTAGTACCTTAGCCACTAGATCACCGCGTAGAGGCTAAAAGGTCATTAAAGGCAAATAATTTATGTCAGAATGAAAGTTAAATGTACGACGTCTTAAATGGCAATATTATCAACAGCAGAGCCCTACTTACCGAGAAATTAAGCTAAATGTATCACACAATGTGCGCCACGAGTGGGGACATGTTGGAAATGATCTTGATGACGTGAGACTGCAATTATCACTAGTAATCAAACTGGCTACAATAAAAAAATGTTCCGTTCATTAGGAGACCTAATAAAATGCTACTTGCCCATTTCTGTTTGATTTACATTATAGAAAAAAAAAGAACCATCTGGCATTATTATGGAAAATGGTGCGAATCGTTCAAAAGTTCAGTCTTCGCCAGGTTAGGCTGGATAGGTGTTGCCATCTAGAGGGGCCCAGTTGAACAAGACAAATAGAAAATTGTTCAATATCAGTTGTTGCTGCTGTGGCTCCCGCTACTTTTACTCTGCTACTACTAGTGTCTGCAGTCACACAGTAAAGGCGTGCAATGTTGGGCACAGCAACAATGACACGATTTGTTTTGGAACACAATTTTATTTATTTCAAACACGATTTTATTTTAAATAAGCACTTCCTTAACACAAAAGTAGCACTGAGGTTTCTGGACCACTATTTTGATAATCAACGTCCGCTTATTCACCTTCAGAGCCCCTTTAAGGGGGGACGCGGCTTTGGGATCGCGAAAAATGGCAAAAAAAATCGATTTTTTGAAACTGAAGTTTTCAGTTTCTGGAACCCTTTTTCTATCTGGTTCCAAAATATCTACACTGAAAACCGCGCAGAAGTGCTTCGGAAAATTTGTTTTACCCACCTAGGTAGCAAAACTTTTTCTGGAAATGGCGAGAAAACGGCGATTTTCAAAAAACTATAGCTTCGCGATGCTTGGGCCGGGAGCCGGCTTCTTTGGCTCATCGGAAAGAGCGTTTCTCCGTGTAACTTTCCCGCCTCAGCTGGCTCCTCCCTTTAACAACAAGCGAGCAAAAAGCAAATGTTTGAAGGTCGTGTTGAGGCCCTTGATTGGCCGTGGCCGCCATGTTGACTCAGCTCGCCTCGCCATTGGCCCAATGCTCGCTCCGGGAGATCGTCGTCTGCTGCTTCTGCGTCGCGAGGACATGGCTCTCGGAAAATCGCCACTTCGTGACGTGTTCACGGCTTGATAATCACTTAAGATATAATTACGCTTTAGTTACGAGCAGTAAGCAGATGCGCGATCAGGTTACTACGAGCAGGCGCGCAGCGGTCCAAAAGTGCGGCGCGTCATCGGAGTCGGCTTTAGCCCTAACTCCGCCGACAGCGAGACTGCGGGCAGGAACGACGCGCAAGCGCACTCTTGGTGACGTGCTTCTTCGCAAGGAATGTACCACATCACTCGCTAGCTCCTCTGAATCACGTACGGGCATTTTACGCATCGGCAGCGGACAACACAGTCAAGCTCGTCACCCCCCCCCCCCCCCCTCACTGCCAAGGATTGCTCGGAACAGCGGCTAGCAGTTTCGCGCGTCGTCATTTGAAAATGCGATGCCAAGTGCAGTGCTCGCCGATTTTTTGTCATCGCAGTTGCACATTTCGCGCATCGTCATCGAACGCCGCCGGCAAGTGCATTACGCGCCGGCTGCACTGCCCACACAGCCGCGCACACCACGGTCATACGGAGTGCTGTCAATAAGCTTTTGTGATGCGATTCAGACGTGCTTGGAGCCGCGCTTGATATCGCCACGAACGTCTATGAATGTTCCGAGGTTAATGAATTGCTGTAGATTAGAGTTTCCGCGACCGGCTGTATGATGATGCGTTTCACAGCTAGAGCGGCGAAAGAGCATGTATGAATCAGGGGCACGAATTTTTATATGCCTGTTTCGTGTCATTAATTATACTGCTAGAAATTCCTGTGCCACCAGTCTTCTGCCCATAACTGTTATTTGGAAAGAAGGCATAGGCCGTCATGGTGTTATCTATTTTTCTGGTGCAATAAACCGCTCTCCAAATAAAGAAAAGTTCAGTGAATATTTGTAATCAAGTACTTAATTATGCTAATTACAACTTCATCACAAAAAATATGTGTAATAATTTCAGTATATGGTTTTATTCAATTACAATCTTTTCTGTCATACCTATCACACCACTCTTTCATACAAAGAACTTGGTTTGAAATCCATACTTGTTTGTAAATCATGAAAATAAGTCAAATATCACAAGACAAACCTGAGATCACAATTTTTAGGTGCCTTAGAGACGTAAAGAAAAGTTGAAACTTTAAATGCAGCTTTCTCAATACTGTTTTTTTGACATTATGCTCAGCCCCTACACATGGTTCAATGAAGAAATAATTTGTTTCTCGTAAATTATTTGTGGTATCGCTTCAAAATTTTTGTGGAAGCACTGTGAGGTCATTCTTAGTGTCTGTGCCAATTTTCATCAATATCCAACGAGAAACAAAAAAGTTCATTGAAAAAAGCCTGTCGAAAACTTCGACAGGCTTTTTCTCACAAGTGTGTTTTGGACATTGCGCATTGCTCGTGGAAAGAGTAGCACGGAAATGACTGGACCGATTTGGATTCTGTTTTTTTTTTTTCCTGAATCCCTGAACACTGCTTGTGGGTACAGCAATCTTCAATTTCTGTTTTATGTCCCTCTTATTTTTCTAGACGATGATTTGTCCGTGCCACTGTTTCTGACAATGTGTGTCGGCAGCCATTATGATCTCTAAAAAAAAAAAAAAGAGAACTTATTAAAAAATTCTGAGTGCCATACCCTGTAGCTTTCTTTTGAGTAAAGATCAACACCATTCGCAGCTTCTTGGCATGTTTTGTTGCAGCGCTAGGCTTTACACGAGCAGACCATGTAATTGAACCATGTAGCATTATGTAACTTAAGAACCGAAGCTATCATGATGAAACTGCATATCTACCTATTCGAGACACTTATGAGTATGCATGCCAAATGTTATTGCTGTAGGTCAACAAATAAAGTTTTTTTCAATGCCACCTTCCCTCCTTAAAGGTGTACCGACACAAAAACTTTGGCCTCGCAGTTCTCTGCTGCAATGTGTTGCTGGGGGCCCATTAGTCATAACACGACACATCGTTTGCTACAGCACGCGACAGATAATTATGGGCCCCTTGTTACCGGCCAGTTTCGGTTTCGGAGAGCTCCAAAAACGAGAAGCCCCCGGGTGCAACTATCGCCACCAAGTGTGTGCAGCTGTCGACTACATCAGCACACAGAACTGTGACACACTTCCGCACGGTCCGAATTACTTTCGAATAGGAAACACTGCAGTGTCGCCAAACACAAAACTTTCAAAGTGTGCGCCCCGGCTACTAACTCGTGAGTAGCCACCAAAAAGTACAGACTGCGGGAACAAACGCAGCAAAAGAAAAATGGTCGCTATGACCACTGCAGCGCGGTGACGCGAGGAAAATGGAGGATCCTCAAAGAGTCCCCTTCGAGGGTGTCAATGGCACGATGAAATCTAGTGCTCACGCAAACTTCAAAATTAACTTAAAATACCTTCTAAGCTATATTCGCTGTTGATATTCTCCAGATGATACACGAATATTCACAGGAATCGACCCCGCAGGCAATCTCTGCTGCGGAATTTTGCGTCAGTGCCCCTTTAAGCAGAGTTCTGCACGTAGTGCAGTGTCATGCATTGCAGCCTGTAGTGAACCTCTGTGCATAAAACACACATGTGCCATTGAAAATGCCTATTTTCAACCTAAGCATTTTTAACCTGCCCCAGAAGACTATCATGCAAAAACGATAGATCACTATGAATTATATCCAGCGCTATGCAAAAAAGCTGTCACCTTTCCTCGTCCATCTCTAAGCTTGACTCTGACTCCGACAGGTGGCGGCAGAGAGCCTCGCGGCGATCCATCTCAAGCTGCAGCTTGCGCTGAAGGCGTACATTCTGCTCACGGATATGGCGCTCATCCTGGGCATACTGGGCCACCTTCTCATTGTGCTCCTGCTGTGTGTCATACAGCTGGGCACGAAGGCGCGCCAGCTCCCCATGCAGTCTTGCTACGTGGGCCCCCAATGCAGTGGGCGTGTCACGCCCAGGCTCAAGAGGCGATGGTGGCGCTGATGGGGGCTGCTCCAACCGTTCTTGTAGCAGGCGCTTTTCGGCCTCCAGCTTGTCCATTCGCTTCCACAGGCGGTTCACCAGTGCCTCTTGCTCTTGTTCCAGTGTGCACTCCAGCTCCACCTGGAATATGTAACACGCACATCTCTAAACCGCCATGTCTGCACAATTATGATGACTTCAAGAGAACTATTACTCTCTCGAGGATTAGCTAGGACTTGTTTACAAGGACCCAGGAAGCTGCCAGAGCTCAAGGCATCATGGGCTACTCGCGACTTTCTTAAGCAACCTTTATAAGTAAGGATGCTTATTAGAGATGTGTGAACATTCAAGTTTCAAATTCAAATCGAAATAGACCTCATTATAGTGACATTCTATCTTACACGAAAATAAGCTTGCTATAGTAGCAAATTCGTTATAAAGGTATATTCCTAACGCTATTTATTGTAGGACTATTCATTTACTTCATTACAACTGATCTTTCGTCATTTACTTCATTAGAACTGATTTCGTTATATCCGGGTTCATCATACCGAGGTTTCAGTGGAATTCATAATTGAGTAATTCGAACAGCCAGAATATCGAAAACGCGACGTATGTTAATGCTTCAACTTAGTTAAGGTGGAGTGGCTAAAACTAATGCCAATGTCATTACGACAGGCCTTTCATGAAAACTTTCTCCTATGTCTTGGATCAAGAGCGGGCGCACGTTTACTTTAAAAGCGAGCACACGTGGCTAACAATGACTTCAAGGAAATTATTACTCAAGCCCTTTAAGAATTAGCTAAGGCTGATTTAAGACTGAGGAAGCTGCCCGAGCTCATGGAAGTAAGGACGAAACTCGCCTCTCCTTAGCAACCTTAATAAATTAAGATGTTTGTTAGTGAGAGCCTGTTTACACAGTTTTTCCAAGTAAATAATGAACATCCACAGTTTGGTGTACAGTAGCACGGTTAGGTATACAAGCAACTATTTTTTTCTTGCACATTCTGTTTCAAGTTGCAATATTAATAGTTTGTATCACAGCGAAAAATAGTGTGTGTGTGCATGTTCGAGAAAGTTTCACTGAATACTTTCTTTAAGTATGACACTCCAATGACGATAAAAAACAGATATAGAAAGACGAACTGCACGACAGGTCACCTTTTCTCGGCGCAACTGCTCCAGGTTTGCTTGCTTGGCCAATGTCTGCGCTTCTAGACGTTCTATCTTTCGCATCAACTTATTCACAAGTGCCTCTTGTTCCTGCTCCAAGCTCTTCTCCAGCTGAACCTTCTCCTGGCGAAGCTGCAAAACAATTTGAACTACATTAGAATGCAATACAAAAGCACAAATAATCGAAAAAGGATTAGTGTTCAAACCCACATGCACACAAAAGATACATCTGTTAGTCATAGGACTGTGCGAATGTTCAAAATTTCAAACAACAGACCTAGGGTTGCCAGCTGGTCGGTTTTTTAGACAGCAGCCCAGTTGCTGGCCCGTACCCACTGTCATCGGCCAGTTTTTTTCAAAACAGTAAACGAAGCATCACTCTAATCACAGGTATTTTTATGCATGCTATTAGACTAGTAAGTAAGCTCAGTATGCTATTTTAGTTTGTACATCAAGTTTATTTGGCTCAAAGAAAGGAATATTACATTAAGTGGCACTGTATGCTGAAGACCTGACATCACATCTATTGTTCAACACTAATTTAATATGTTTAATTTTATTAATTGCACCTACTAGGACACTGAAAACAGGCATAATAGACAAATAATGCACTACTCTGATTATGCCAACCACTTAACACTATACAGCCCTAGACTTCTATGTACATTACTAATGGTCCAGTCCAAGACTATTTTAGCTAGTTTTAGGTGCTATGTGAGAACACCCCTTCCTATGCAGGCCCAGCAAAACTTTTTTTCATTCTCTATTATTGCAGTCCTTCAGTGGTACTTTCATGCTATGTAGTACCATTCAATGCACTCCCCAGGGTGAAGCATGGTGTGAATGCTGTGAGAACCCCCTCCCCCAACCCCTCATTTATTACATTTTTTCCAAAGCTTTTTAACTTTGTACGTAGCTGCTACCTCCGAAGAACACAACTGTACACACACAATGGATATTATTTTACCTTTTACAATGCATCAGGGCACAGAAATATGAGGTGACCTTTCTCCCATGTCTGCCACTGCCTATCTAGTGGCATATTTCCTTGGTCAATCCTAGAGCAGGACTTGTTGATCCACAGCTAGCACATGCTTATTTCACAGGCTAATAATAAAATAATTGTTTGGGTTTAACGTCCCAAAACCAGCATATGATTATGAGAGACGCCGTAGCGAAGGGCTCAAGAAATTTTATACACTGGGGTTCTTGAACGTGCACCCAAATCTAAGCACATGGGCCTCAAGCATTATCGCCTCCATGTATTTCACAGGCTAATTTGGAGTGGGTTCGCATGTTTCACCAGTCCTTTCAGAACAACTCGCTCTCCACCAGATTGCTCTCACTTGCTTCCCCACCAAGTTGCGGATTTGAGAGGAAATAGAACGAGCAGAATATGTAATGTCATGTCACTCTGCTAGTAACCTTGGTCGCACTTCACAGTGGCAACCAAGGTTGCCATGGAAATGCACAAAGCAGAGGTAGGAATAATTTCTGGAACCTGTTAACCCTTTGTTTCCCAAAGCCAATCAAGTTGTGCCAGTAAATATTTTTTTTTGCACATATGTAATTACAATACATTTAAAAGTGGGACTAAACTGAAAACCTGAAACATTTAGCTTTAAGTTCTAAAAGAACACGAGTGCCCACATACGTGGACAACTGGAAACACCTGTTATACTAGGTCCGTCATCCTTGGAAGATTCAATTGGAAGATTCAATTCCACTAGTAGACTAAAAAATGATGGCATGTATATGTTGATCGCTTAATCTACGTACTGATCAAAGCAAATCAAATTCAAGTTGTATTTGCCTATATACAAATAATGTTTTGTGCAGAGCCGCTTGGCAATGAGGTGGGTCCTAGTACCATACGGCGTTTTATCAGCTTCCTACACATACTCTGAATACCCGCGGATACCGCAGCGCCAACTCGCATTACAAAATTTTAGTGGTCTGCAGTGCAACGAAACACACAAAAACAAGAAAAGCCTTTCCTTTTCCCAAATCAAGCCGAATATAATTTAAAAGCTCTGAAGAATTTAGAGTGAACTATTAAACACATGTAGGCCTAGACCTCTACGAGCAACTTAAGAAGAATGGCACTTTTCTGTGAGCATTTACTGCTGCACCATGTGAACACATGCATATATTTCATGAAATTTTGAAAATACCAACATTTCAAATACATTTTTAAGTCAATGTGTTGGCTAGCCTCATGGCACTACACTGATATGTTTTGTCCACATATGTGGCACAAAGTTTTAATCCGACATGTGGCTAAGTAATTTAAGGTGTAATCTCACGGGGAGCATCCCAGTGTTTCACTGATGAAGAAATACAACCCGAGTGCTCGCTCCACGATTTTGGCCACCACTCCAATCCCTCACCGTGAAAAATGCCATATTGCATTTCAAGCCTAGCTTTTCTATGAAATAATCACCACTGCTTGGCATCCTCACAGTTACGTACAACTGTATCTACAGCAAACATACATTGGCCAGCAGAAGAAAATTGATTGCATGTGCTTTTTATATTAACCTTGTTAAATGCCAAGGAAAGGTGATGTTATTTTAAGTAATCAAAATGTAAATGTGAAAAAAAAATGTGGACAAAAAGATGACTTGCCCCAGGCAGGGACCGAACCTGTGACCTTCAAATAATGCGTCCAATGCTCTACCAACAGACGTGTACATGTGCTAAGCGACACCAAAAGGGAAAAAAAAAAAAAGTGTTCCACACTTGCCGTAACTGCTAGTGGTACCGCTGACTGATTCTTCCAGTTTAAATGCACATATGCCCAACAAAATAGATTGAGGGATGACCGCAGACTTAGCATCGGACACGTTATTCAAAGGTCACAGGTTCGGTTCCTGCTGGAGGCAAGTTACCTTTTCTTTACATTTACATTACAATTACTCTTAATAACATTCTCTACTTTTTTTTTGGCATTACTGCCTGGTAGTCCCCATTAATATTGTTTAGGGAATGTGATACATATGTTTTTGTTTTTATGAAATGGTGATGCAATGCCAGCATTCCAATTCGATTTTTAAGGCAATGTGTTGGCTAGACTGATCCCACTAGGTTTTATCTTCACATGTGTATGTTGGGACACAAAAAGTTAGGTCTGGGAGTGTAATCAGCACTGCTTATAGCCATGATGGCAAATGTGGATCACTTTTTTCTGCATGCTGAAAGGTTGAAGATTCAGTACTTGCTGGCTACAAGTTCTCTTTTTGTCCACTTAAATTTCCTCTCACTTATATTGCCGTTGCAAGAAGATATAACATCCTCTATACTTTCCTTGGCTAGAAGGTCTGTTACAGTGAAACTTCCCTTGAATAAACCTATGAACCCCAGGAAAAAGCTTGTTAAAGAGAAAGTTTGCTGAACTGAAATAGCTGTGTTGCAACTTGTTATTGGAAACTGAACATCAGTAGTTAAAATTAAATTTGAATCCTCTTGACAGTAAGTGCAAAAAAGAACACAAAAAACAAGTAGACACCACAAGCGCTAACAACCGAAAGTTTACTGGAATGAAATTTGAGCCCTTTGGTTTGCAATGCAGCTCATTTTGAATGGGAACTGCTTGTTTAGCAAGTCTTCAAGACTTGCTAAACAAGAATGTAATCTTTCGCTGCACTTATGCCCTTAAGACTGCAGTGTTCATGAATTGAGTCACTGTGTCCAAGCTCTCAAGAACCTTGTCCAGCACATTCTGCTGAGCAGTAAAGGATTTCACGTTTTCCTTTCCAAGTGCTTCTTAAGCTAAAATTACTGGTGCTTTCTCTACAAGGGCTACTTAATTCTGAGGCATGATGCATGATACAGCCTCTTCAAAAGACAGAGTGGCGCATGTCTACACTCGAAAGTCACAGGTGACAGTCTTCAAATCGCAAAGTGCTATCTGCACCCAGTTTTTCAGACAATCTCTGATCAATACGACATAACAGGCGCTGGATGGTGTCACAGAATCTGTAGAATATAAAATACGCTCTGCACTAATTTTGTTAAACTGAAAAGCATTATCTTTTACTCCAATAGCACTTCGGCAGATGTTTAATTATGTTTGTACAACTAAATAGTTTAGCTTAACTGATGTGGTGTTTATTGTAGTTCTCATTAATTTGATTGATATGTGGGGTTTAACACCCCAAAACCACCATATGATTATGAGGGACGCCGTAGAGGAGGGTTCCGGAAATTTCGACTACCTGGGGTTTTTTAACGTGCACCCAAATCTGAGCACACGAGCCTACAACATCCGAGTACCTTAGCTACTAGACCACCGCGGCGGGGCTGTAGTTCTCATTAATGTTGTGTCTTACAAACAAAAACAAGCCTCTAAATTCCTCCTCATTCGTTCATTCATGATGATGGTGATTTGTGGTGCTTAATGGCACAAGGGCCAATTGATGACCAAAGAGTGCCATTTCAGTAGACAAGAAATGTGAACAACGACATAGTATGTGGCTGTATTGGGGCCTTAAAACTCCTCACGCAAGTGCACGTAAAAACATAGAAATATCAAAACCATGAGAGTGACGTGAAATATGAGCAATGAGACAGAAAGGCGAAATGTCGCGATAATAAAACTAGGGTGACGATGTAGTGACCGCAGCCACAGCCTCAGTAGTGAGGTCATTCTACAAATCAGCTTGGTAAAGCTATGTATAACGGTTAAAAACATAAACAGTGATTAGAGTTTAAAAGGCGGATCCTTATTGATGAACATGACAGGATGTAGTGCGAGCTGCTGTCAATAGGGTAATAAAAAGTGCCTCTTCCTTGGAGCATCTAGCTCATTGCACTGCACTAGAATGCGGAGAACCACACGTCGTTCTCCACATCTCTCGCACAATGGCGGATCATCACCGGACAAAAGTTGTGAATGTGTTGTGCATCCTATTCTTAATCTGGTAAGTGTGACTTACCAGATGTGGCTTTACAAGATGAGGTTTATTCTGTGTTTGCCTGCCCCATAATTGCTGCCAATAATCCCCGAGTTTTCTTTTAAGATAGGGTTTCAGATCAAGCGCAAAGACTGCTATGGCTGTATTGGCAGCGCTTTCGTGGACAAATGCAGCTAGCTGGTTTACCAACACATTTTCTTGGATCTCACGGTGCCC